CTCTGGAAGCTATAAAAACTGACAACTCTTGTTACAAATTTGGAACATTGAAGTTTCTCATAAAATTTATATACAAACAAATGTACTTGTAATACATTTTGTTATCTTTCATTATGATTAATTAATCTTTAGTCCAGAATGTATTTTTTCTAGCTGTAAATTAGAAAATGACACTAAATTTCTTAAATATTGTATACTAATAATTATTACAGGATTATAATAAGTGGAAACATCCTATGTTACTTTTAATTGTTGTATTATTTTAATTTGTTGTATTAGAGCCTATCATAAACATTATAGTATTATTTATAAATTACAGATAGAGTAAAGTAACATAAAAATAAGATTATTTTATTGCAGTAGCAGCTCAGCATCAAAGGTAACAAAAAAAGAAGATATTTCTGCACAAGTTGATGATTTACAATTAACAAATACAGAAATAGATTTAAATCCAAAAAATGAGGCAACATTTAATGCTCTTGTTTCAACCGAAGAATTATTGGCACAAATAGGATTGGCAAGGGAATTTGCAGCTGATAGTAAAGTTGAGCATCCCTATGTTGATAAATTAAAGAGAGTGCAAATGATTTTATTTGATTTAAGCCATGCTATATCAAAACCAATACCTGGTAAAGATAAATCATTTGAAAGTAAACATATTAATGATTTGGAAGAATGGATAGCAGAGTATGCCAATCAACTACCTCCTCAGGAAACATATATTATTCCGGTAAAGAAAGTATTTTTATTTTATATTATCTATTAAGTGATTACTTATATTTAATTTTATGTTATGATAGGGTGGTGGTAAAGCTTGTTCTACATTACATTCAGCAAAAGCAATTTGCAAACGTGTAGAAAGGAATGTTGCATCTTTAGTTCAGAATGGTTTATTAAATAAAGAAGCACAAGTATATTTAAATAGATTACAAAACTTCCTTTTAACAACATCACGTATTGCAGCCAAGTGTGATCAGCGCACAGAAAACATATATATTCCCAGAGTAGAAGTTGAAAAAAATGAAAAAGAGTAAATTATAAAACTTATCAGGCAAATCTGTAGAGTATTCTCTCATAATGCTTTTTTCTAAAAAATAGCACAAACAGCCATGTATTGTATGCGGAAACTCTGCAATAATATTGTTCCCAGATATATCTTCAAGTATATGTATGTTGTAAATATTTTGTAATGAAATTATGAGTGTCAGTTACTGGTTATCCTGTATTATTATATTAAAAATGTATATAGTAATTAAATAACATGTTAAGTAGTTGATATTTAAAGATTTAATAAAGAGTAACATTAAGAATACAGTTTTCAGATATGAACATTTTTTAATATATTATTTCCTAAAATGTTCGTGATTAATAGAATGTACTGTTAATTTTATTAAACAGTTATACATGATTTTATTGAAAAACATTTGGTTAACTATTTAAGCAATATACTTTTAATAAACTTTATAAATAATTTGTAATTGGGTTATTTGTGTACACATTATTAAATAGAAATTTTATTATTTTATAATGCATTTTTATCTATCTGTACATGATATAAACACATTTATAAAAAAAGTATTGTAAATAAATGTGCAGTTTTTAATGTAATAATAAACCATGTATAAAAGTTACATTAAATTAAAGGTTACTGGGTCACCATAACAACATTCAAGAAAATTCATTGCTTATTCTAAAATTTCATCTCCTTCAACAATTTCTTTTAAATTAAGTAATTCGAATAATCCAGAAACTTTACTTATTAATTGATCTATTTCTCTATAATGTCCAGGATCAATCAAACAAATCAAATTTAACGTTCCATTGTCCCATTCTTCTGCTTCTAGTTTTGTTACTAATTTTATTATTTTATCTCTTAATTTTCTTGCTTCTTTGCCTGAGACTAAGATTCTGACTCTCATTTGAGCTCGATCCAATGGCATTACAGTCTTTAATTGAGGAATGACATCTAAAGCTTGTTGTTTTGCATTTCGATTTGGTTTTACAGAAAAATGAATATCTTTCATAGCTTTTTCTATCATAGTTACTGGGTATGGACGTTTAGTTTCTGGATTTATGCATTTATCAGCAACAGTTGTTGCAATATCTTTAAACATAGAATCTAATGCTGAATGCCTTTCTTTATCAGAAACTTGAAGTTCTCCTTTTGTAAGAATTTCTTTACAAATTTCTGTTTGATTCTCTGTACCAAAAGCCTTTATGAGGTCTTCCTTCTTTGCAACTTGTCCTTTTGAAACATTTATAAATACTGTATGTGTCTGCAAGACTTCATCGATATCTTTTTCTCTGAAATAAAATTACATTATCATAATTATTAATAAACTGTAAAACGTATTGTATAAAAACCAGCTAAAGTGTAATACAAAGCAAAGCAAAGTGGATAGGTTAGGTGTCAAGAACACCGACAAAGTAATGTTATGTTTTTCTTGATCGGCTGTTACACTTACAGTTTATTTCTCCATGAGATAACTTTGTTTTTATAACAAGCGATTTCAAATCGTTTTCCTGCTTTTTTCATACGAACGACGGCAACATTGGTTAATCTTATTTGATTCGTAGGTGTAAAAATTTTCGACATTGTCAAACAAATATAAATATTACACTATTTTTATATTTTCAAAATGTTACATATGCGTGATAAAATTATAATTTACACAACTTATGATGAATCTTTTTTATTTTACATTCTTTTCTAACGTATACCTATATCTTAGGGATGTCTTCAAAGCGATTTCGAAATCTCGATTCATTATCGAATCGCTGACATATTCAGCTTCCTTTACAATATCGATAAATTTTTAAAACATGTTAAGATACAAGTAGGAGATTACAATATCTTAATTTACAATAATTAATGTAAACTACAAAGGATATATATTATTTACAATTTTTTTTCTCAAATATAAATAAGTAGTTCATTTA